AGGCACAGGGGTTGCAAAACGTTCTCTGTCGCTTTGGGCTTTGGATGTGGCATGCAATCAAGGCCAATGTGTTGTATTTACTTGTGATGCCCCTTCCTTCTCCTTCAATTTTTTGGGGGGGTGGGAGGCAGGGAGTTTGTAGACCACCGACAGTTTTGAAGAGTCTAGGCCGTGGTCTTGAAGGAGGTCCCACAATCGGATTTGTTGGGTGGTTTCTCCACGATTAGAATCAGGTTGAACTTTTGGGCTAGAATATCCCTCAGGTGGTACGCCCTCAGTGCGATCCCTTGCTGGGCTGTCCATCTGCTTCTCCATTTCCAAGGTACTTTGTGCTTTATAAGTCATCGGCCGGGTGCCCTCTTTTCTGCGGGGAGACGGGATTCGGTGTCCCGCTCACTATCCACACTCGTTTCCCCCTAGCTGGTCGTGACCCACGCCTTCCTCCACTGTGGCACCAGTGACTGCAAAGGGGAGCCCTTCTGGCCCTGTCAGTCATCATCTGCATGCAGCAGCTGGCTCACTTCTGGAAACATGAGCCCCTCCTTCCCCTGACCAGCATCTGTCCTCTGCCCCCTCATTTGTGTGGGCTGGCATCTCACAGCGGTGTCACTGTGGCCTTTCACTCCCTACTTCCCCTACATTCGTTGACCATCGGGGCTCTTCTCTGTGAACTCCTTATCCCCTTTGCTTATTCTTTCCATTCAACCGATTGCCTTTCTCCTGGTGGCACCCTGAAGTTCCTTATATTCGTGTCCAACACTGACCTTCAGCAGGGATGTGCCACGAATGCCCACGCCCAACACGGCACAGATATGAGAAGAGTTGGCAGGCTGCAGATGGAGGCCCTTGTCTGGAGCCCCCGCCACCAAGCTGAGACTTAATAGTGACCCAGCTGCGGGCACTGCCTCCTGGAATTCCAGGTGGGCGGTGGTGAGGTGGCCACTGACAGAGCCCCGTGTCCCCCTGGGGAAGTTGAGGCCACCTGCCCTCCCCGTGGCCCCTCTGCCTTTGTGGCCTTGTGCTTCATGTGTTCATTTGCCGGGGGGCCCCTTCCTGCCACTCCACAGCCCCCATGAAGCCAATGAGACCTTTGAAGCTCAGTCACTGGGACCCTGGTTTCTAACCCAGAGAGATTCATGTTCTTAAAACTTTCTTTCCGCCTGTGGAATTTATCAAGGTCTTGTTTTATGGTTTGGAGGGTTTACACCTGGTTTAAGAAATTCCCCTGTTCTGATGGCTTTCCAATGCTCTCCTGTAGCTGCTTCTTAGAGTTGGAATGTTCTCCTTCTCAGATTTAGGTCATCAGACATGGGGCAGGGGCTGATTTTCTGTGGCCAGTTTGAGGAGGAGGTGCTCTGTTTTATTTATTCTAATCTGTCCCCATGATTCCCCTCCACTGTGCCACAGTAGGCGTGCCTGTGGCCCCGTGCATAGGCCGGCTCTCCGTGTCCATGTCTGTGTCCGTGTCCCTGTCTGTGTCCTTGTACCTGTCCATGTCCATGTCCCTGTCCATCTGGGAGCCAGTGCCTCCTCTCACCCGGTCTGGGTTTGTCCACCCCCCCCCCTTTCCTTCCCACACGTGTTCGAATCAGCGTGAATTTGCATGAGTCCCTGTGGGAATATAGTTGAGTTGCCCTGAATTCATAGATTAATTTAGGGAGAATGAACAGTGTTAAGATATTACTGCTTCCTCTTAGGGAACAGATAACCATCTCTAGGTATTTGTGCCTTTTAAATATTTTTTTAAAGATTTTTATTTATTTATTAGAGACAGAGAGAGAGAGAGGCAGAAGCAGGCTCCATGCAACTTTTAGATATTCTCAATAAAGTGATTTTATTATCTCCGTAGTTGTCTTGCACATAGTTTGCTAGATTTATCCTTATTATCATAGTTTTTACATTTCTGTTGTACATGGTATTTTTAAACACTGTCCTCCATTTCTCGATCCTTCTATCTCATGCTCTCATGCACCCGCAGTGACCTCTTAATTCTAATAATTCAGGATTGCAGGTTTTCTTATTTTTTTGCCTTTTTTTTTGTAGATAATTATTTGGTTGTGCATAGTGGCAAATTTTTAAGGCACAAGTAGGTAAAATAAGATCCTTTTTTCCTTGCCCTCCTGTCATCTTTTTTTCTAAGATCTATATATTTATTTGAGAGAGAGAGAGCAGGAGGGAGAGGGAAAGGGAGAGGGAAAATCTCAGGCAGACTCCGTGCTGAGTGCAGAGCCTGATGTAGTGCTCCATCACAGGACCCCGAGATCATGAACGGAGCGGAAACCAAGAGTCAGATCCTTAACCAACTGAGCACCGCCCCCCCCGCCGCCAGGTGCCTCTCCTGTCATCTTTTTTGTGTTTTTTTGGAAGTATCTCTTTTTTTCTTGACCCAAAGTTCTGGCTAGGGCACCTGGCCAGAGAGAAGGAAGCTGAGAAGCTGACTCTTGCAGCATTTCCCCGGGGACAGTGATGCTTGCTGTAAGTGTTTGGAAGATGCCTTCCTTGGGTGCAGGAAACTGACTTCTTTTCCCAGTTGGCTGAGGATTTTCTGCACCAGCTGTGTTCTGTTTCCTCTGAGCTCCCCTCAAGCCCCTGCTCCATCAACGCCTCAGGAATCACCACATTGGGGGGCTTGCTAATGCAAAACTACGCTTGTGTTAGGGAGGATGATGTCCTTTAAAGAAATTCTTAGCACTTTTGGTGGCTTGGTAGCTCCATCTCTCTCTCTCTCTCTCTTTTTTTAAAGATTTTATTTATTTATTCACAGAAAGAGAGAGACAGAGAGAGAGAGAGAGGCAGAGACATAGGGAGAAGGAGAAGCAAGCTCCCTGCAGGGAGCCCGATGTGGGACTTGATCCCAGGACCCCGGGATCACGACCTGAGCCAATGGCAGACACTCAACCACGGAGCCACCAGGCGTCCCAGCAAAACTAGTCTTTGACTCCTGAGCTTGTACATTCACTTGGAACTCCCATTATCTTCTCTTTCCCTCATTGACTCCAAAGCTTCTCTTTTTTTCTGGATTTCGGTTTCTGGCTCATTTTTTATTTTTTTTTTAAAAGATTTATTTATTTATTCATTCATTCATGAGACACACACACACACACACACACAGAGAGAGAGAGAGAGAGAGAGAGAGAGAGAGAGAGAGAGAGAGAGAAGCAGAGACACAGGCAGAGGGAGAAGCAGGCTCCATGCAGGGAGCCTGATGTGGGACCTGATCCAGGGACTCCAGGATCACGTCCTGGGCTGAAGGCAGGTGCTCAACCGCTGAGCCACCCAGGTGTCCCTCTGGCTCGTTTTTTTAATTTCTTGAATTAGATGCTTAACATTAGCGCTTGGGGTCCGTCCCCGGAGCTTTCTCCAGGGACCAGTTCAGGCCCAGGCTGCCTACTGGTGGCCATTCAGCGGAGCCTGGCCTCCCAGGTTTCTGCCTCCAGGCTGGCCTCAGGTGTGCTCACATTTCTAAATATATGCTAATAAGTCACCTGCCACAGTTAGGTCCACTGGGCTGCAGGGCCTGGTCGCTGGATCCCCGTGCTAAGTGCTAGTGGAAGCAACGCCTCTAAAGCTTCACACGTGCTCCCCGTTTGCAGGAACGGCCTATCACCAACTCCTGTCTCTCCCGCCTGACTGGTTCAAATCTGCTCCCAATCATTCTGATCCTCCTGACCTGTCAGCAGCTGAGATGTGCTTCAAAAGCTCCCACTCAGATCCCAGACCTCTTCATGTTGTCTGTGGTTGTGGGTTACTAGTTAGTTCACAGGCTCTGCCTCTGCATGACTCCTGGGAGCTGGTCCTCCTGCCCCTGCACTGCTGGGCGCCCTGGGGGCAGCTGTTGCCTCTCAGAACAAGGCGCTGTGTGTGGGGGTATGGGGGTGGTGACGGGGGTCTGTGGATCCCACATCTGCTGTTATGTTAAGGTGTTCGTCCTTGAGTTATTGCAATAAAGCTCGTTGGCCATTAGTGTATTTCTGTATAGGTGCACCGTGTGGGGCAGGGGGGTGCACATGTGTGTAGGAGGTGTGTGCTTGTGAATTTGTGAGTGTATGTGGGGGGTGTGCCCCCACATGGGATGTGCATTCACATGAATGTTGGGGTGGGCAGGCGAGTGCACATGCACTCTGGAGAATCACGTGGGGCGTGGATAGGTGTGCTGGGGTGGGCAGGCATGTGCACGTGCATTCTGGGGGAGTCACATGGGGCATGGAGAGGTGTGTTGGGGTGCAAGCACATGCACATGCATTCTGGGGGTTCGACTTTACTTTCGGGGTCCTGCCACCCCATGGCAGACTGCAAGGGCGTCCTCCCTCTCTCCCTCCACCCTGCAGAGGCTTCTTGGAGGGGGTGGGTCCGGCCTCCGAAAGCTTCCTCCATGAATACTTCGCTGTGCAAGGCTCTACGTCTTCATCCAATTTTTGTGATTTATATTTTCCATAATTCTGTTTGGTCAGGATTTTCAAATTTATTACACAGTTGTGCACTGTGTTCTCTTATAATATAGAAAGAACAGTCTGTGTTTGCTGAGTCTGCTCTCACTGAAATGTGCTTTCCTGCTCCTTTCCTCTGGGGGCGAGAGGCCCTCAGGCTGTGTGCACCCCCTTGTTCTGAACCTGCTCCTGCCCCCACATTTCCGGGGGACGCCTGTAAGTTCTCTCAGTGTGTTCCTGCTCCCCTTCCCCCAACCCCTCCAAAGACAGAGCTCTTCTACCCCAAACTGGCTTTGAAGCAGAGTTGGGCAGTGGGGGAGCGCTCACGGGTGGGGGGCGCTGAGTTGGAGATCTGGGTCATATGAGCTTGCAGGGGTGGGGGACCGATGTGGAAGCCGCTGGCAGAGCCGGGGCCCAGGGCTGGGTTATCTCCCCGGCTGACCCCTAAAGGGAGCACCCAGTGTCTCTTGGCGCCCCCACCCACAGGGTGGCCACCCTCACAGTTCTGTTCTCCTTTGCCAGGTGCTCAGCCCCCCACCCTGGGCCCCAGTCGAAGAGCCAGCACACACTTGGTAGAGGGGAATCTGCCAGCTTTATTCACAGACCCCCGGAGATGGGGGCAGCCAGGACAGAGACATGTGGGGTGCCTGGGGGAAGGCTCTCTGCCCCCAGGCCGGGGGGCCAGACACTGCCATGGGGGCTGCTCAGGCCGAGGGTCTCTGCCTCTGGGAGCTTCTGCGGCTGCTTCACTTCCAACGCCCACCAACTTTGCCCTTGGCTGGGGCCCCGGCCTTCTTGCTACTGCAAATGGAAGAGAGTTGATGGTCAGTGACTGGGTATTTGGGACCCCAGCCCAGCCCCTCCTTGGCCCACGGCAGACCCCAACCCCAACAGCTCTGCCCACCCAGGCTGCTATCAGGGTGAAGCGCTCTGTCTGGCCTCAAAGCCACGGGCACACATTCCAAGCAGCAGTGACTCACCTGTACCTGGACCGGCTGGGCCTGGGCGCATCGTTCCAGGATTGTTAGTGTGGTTAGGGGAGAGACCAGTGAGCCCAGGACACCCCCAACCCCTGCCAGGAGCTCAGGCTCCAGGGGCCACACCTCAGGTAGACCCTGAATCTGCCAGGGAGGCCTTCCCTGCAGATGGCTCTCATTGTCCCAGTTACTTATGCCTGGAAAGAACCTCCCAGGTCACAGCCACAGGGGCAGGAGAGGCTACAGTCAGCTACCTTGGTCCCCGACTCTAGGCCAGTGGGCCGGGCCTGGTCGACTCAGGGCCTGGGAGGCCTCTGTCCCAGTTCCTTAGTCACCAGTTAGAGCTGGATTGGAGAGCAGGAGGTCAGCACCCTGCAAGGTGGCATCCTTAGCTGCCTGCCATGTCTGTCTGAGGCCCTTTGCACACCAGGGAGCCAGGAGAGAGCTGGGTGCTGGGCCAGGGAGCCATGGGTAGGGGGACGGGGTGTGTGGCTGCAGAAGCTGAACATTTGGGGCAACTTCTGGCAGTCTGGAGAAGGCCACCCAATTCCTGAGGATGGCTTCAGGAGAAGCCATGGTACCTGTGACCATGCAGGGGTCACGACCTGTGTCCTGCAGGGGTCAACTGAGAACCTTTACACGAACACACATGCACATGCACACCTGCAGAAGGGCTCTCACGAGGCCTGCATCAGCCACACACAACAGAGCCCGGGATGGAATGGGGGTCACCTTCGCCTCTCCCCCTGGGTTGGGGAGCCTAGCCCTGGGAGCAGCGAGGGGGCAGGGGCCAGTGGAGAAGGGAGAGATCTCCAGGTCCATGCAGTCCTGGGAATACTGCACTGTGTGAGTGTGGACTGGCTGAGCGACCAGGCTGGGAGGCAAAATCCCAGAGCAGGTGGCTGGGAAGCACAGGCCCTTGCGGTTGAGCATGGCGCAGGCTTCTTGAGATCTTTCCCAGATGCTGTGTTCATAGGTCCCCCAGACCCTGGGGTGACCTCATGGACAGAGCATTCACTATCCTGAGGAACCAGTGGCTCCACCAGGATTGCAGGGAGACTGGTGACAAAGCCCAGGCTCCTGACGGCTTGTGCCGCTCACCTCTGCGGCAGCACAGCATGGGGGTGTCCAGGAGACCCTTCTGGAGGGAGCCCAGAACCACCCATATCCCTGAGGCCTATGGCCAGCCCTCCCCACGGTTTGCCTCCTCCTGGGCTCTGGGGTGAGGACAGAGCAAGAGGAGACTGCGGGTCCCAGGGTGCACAGCCCAGACACCGGGCAGGCTCCGGTGGCCAGCTGGTTAGTTTTGTTACTGCCCTGCGAGGGTCGGCTGCCATCCGGACGGGCTGAAATCACCAGCCCCGTGGCGCCGTGTGCCCGGCACAGAGCAACAGGTAGGAAGGCTACTTACTGCTTCTGGGCCTGATCGATGCGGCTTCTGAGATTGGTGATCTGTAAACAACACAGGTGACTTACCTGACAGGTCCTAGTAGGGCCAGGCCGGTTGTGGCCAGCACGGCCTTCTTCATCGGAGCCTTGCTGCCACACCAGGGCCACTTGCTCCCTTACTGTGTCCTGGCTCCTCTGCTTGGAAGACACCAGCTCTTGGCCCTTGGGACTCTTGCCTCTGACTTACTTTTGGTGGCCCGCACTGGAGACCCCGGGGCTGAGACACACAGCAGCCGTGGAGCTGGCCACTTACCTGCAGCCTGCGGCAGGATGTGGGGCAGGGGCGTGGGGAGGGAGGCCAGGCTCACAGAGCCCCTGATTCCAGTGGCTGCTGAGCAACCAGGCCAGTGGCCCACTTGCTCCTTTGCCCAACTGCTCCCTCCTCCTGACAGTCCAGAGGAGAGGCTCAGGGGGAGGCAGGGTGCTTCCCCACCTGCCTGCAAAGACGGCAGGTCAGCCTCAGAAGGCACGGGCTGCAGGGGGTGGGGAGGAGGTGGGGGCAGGAGGCTGACCTCCATCATCTCCACGCCCACCGCCACCGCCATCCTCAACGAACCAGGTTTGCCATGCGAGAGGCTCACCGTGCATCGCACACCACGAGCCTGGTCCAGGGTGGACTCTGGCTACTTACAACTTGGCCAGCATCTCCACTCTGGCCCGCATGTTCATGATCTAGAAAGACCAAGATGGTTAACAGGCTGGGCGGGTGGCTGAGGCTTGGGGGCCTTGCTGTGTGCTGGGCCAGGTTAGGCTGGGGCCCTCATGACTCTTCCAGCCCCCTGAGGACACACTGTAGGTCATGCACAGGTATGTCAGGAGGCAGTGGGTCCCTGACCTGACGCCAGAACCCAGAGTGGGGTGGTGCACAGGTGATGCCCACTTCTGCAAGTCAGCCCTCCCAGGGGACCCTTGAGAGAGGGCTGTGCTGCCCCCGAGTCTGAACACTGCTGGGCCACGGGGATGCATAAGCCAGGATTCCCTGGACGCCCTCTGTCTTGGTGGCCTGTAGGATCAGCCATGAGAGATGACCCTTGCGTGTGAACTCTCTTCCACTAGGGACCCTGAAGGACATTGAGGATTTGGGGGGACCACGCCTCTGATGGCCAAGCTGGTGGTGTCTGTGTTTGCACGGAGCAAGTCAGTTACTGGAGGGCCTCCGAGGGGACTGTGTCCGCCTGCGACTGCTGTTCTGAGCTCTGAGCCCCTCCCAGGCAACTCTATACAACCATCCCCCTGATGACTCGGTCCCAGACCTCTTTCCCTGCTGTTGGGTGGGGGTGCATGCCACCCTTCAGCTTGCACTGACCAAGGAGGTGACAGCTCAGAGACCCGAGCCTGGGCACCCACCACCACCAGGAGCTCTGAGGGGGCCGAGGTCTCTAGCCAGCATGGCTGGAACCTGGCTTTGCAGAGAAGGCTGTGAGGGACACCACCCCGGTACCGGGGAAACCTGGTGCAATCCTGGGGTGGACTCTCCACAAGCCCCAGGTGATTCAGAACCTGGACCCTGAGGCCACTCAGCCCTCTGCAGCCTCCTGCTGCCCTCCAAATAGGGCTGATTGCCCTCAGAGGGAGCTCCCAGCCCCGGTCCCCGGCAGGAGAGTGGCCTTAGCCAGGCTCCATGGGGATGGCCAGTGTGGGCTTCTCTCGGGCCAACATCCCCTGTGGGTGGCTGAGCCCATGGGGCCTGAGGTTCAAGGTGTCTGCACTCACATCATATTTCTGGCGCTTCAGCTTCTCCCCAAACTCAAACTTGTCTGTTTCCAGTTGGTAGAGGGTGTCCCAGAGCTCCTTGGCCTTGTCCCTGTAGGGATGGCAGGGGTGAGCCTCGGGGAAGCCCTGGAAGGCAGGACCCAGGCCAGCCGCTGTCCTCCTCCAGCCACCACAGGGAGGCTGGCAGGCTTGGAGGACACTCTGGCCATGCCCTGGGGCCACCCTCCACTGCCCACAGGCTGTGACACCCGCCCTACCTCAGCTTGTCCTCACTGAGGTGGTCAATGTTGAGTGGCTTGCGTCTCTCTGCCAGAACCTTCTTCTTCATCTCCCGGGCAGTCTGCTTCTTGCCTCTCTTCTGGTCAGCCTGAGGGGACAAGGCAGAGGGGCCTGGGCTCAGGTGGAGAGCATTGCACTGCTTAGTGGCGGTGGCTGGGGGCACGGACAGAGGCCGGGGCTCCAGGGCCCATGCTCACCTTGGCCAGGTAGCTGCTGTAGTTGGCGCCCATGGAGGACAGGGCTTTCTTCTTCTTCAGGTCATCCTCGGCTCTCCTCTTGGCATCCTCCTCCTCCCTCCGGGCTTTTTCTTCCTGTGGAGACCCCGGTCCCCAGGCCCTCAGTGCTGGGCTGGAATGTCCCCCCACCCCAGCAAGCTTTAAGGACCCACTCTGGGCTTAGCACTTTCTGGAAGCTGTGCAGGACATGGGGAACTTAGCCCACTGTGTCTCCACTCATTGGCTGGTGTCGGGATGCTTAGGAGGAGGACAAAGGAGGACAAGGAACCTTTCTTGGGTCATTGTTCTGGGGTCTGGGGTGGGAGTGCGGGGGTGGTGGGAGCTCACCGCCAGTCTGTTCTGGCGCTCTCTCTCCTTCTCGGCACGGATTCTCTGCTGCTCGGCTCTCTCTGCACGGCGCTTCTCCTGTGGCCAGAGGAACAGGTTGGTGAGCCCAACCTTGCCAACCCATCACCCCTCCTCAGAGTATCCAGCACCCCCACCTCTGCCTAGAACTGCCCGCCACACTCACAATCCTCTCCTTAAGAGCAATCAGCTCCTCTTCCTCCTTCTTGCGTGCTTCGAAGTGGCTGTCAATGAGAGCCTGCAGCTCCATGAGATCCTTGTTCTGGCGCTTCTTCTGGATATCCTGTGGGTGGGACAGAACCCTTCTCTCAAATCTCATCCTGCTGGGCTCATCTTCCCTTTGTTCCAGCAGAGACACCCTGCCTCCTCTGGCCAACATGAAAGCTGAGGGCAGGAAGGGACCTTTTGTCCTCTCCCTGTCCGCATGGCTGCTGCCCTCCTGGGGGCAGGAGGCTGCTTGACCCCTTAGCTCCAGGGCAGGAATGGTGCCCTCCCTGTGGGTGAGTCCAGGTCCTGCACAGCCCTGAGGTCATCAGCACCCCTGGGATGGACTGGCTCTGACTTGGCTCTGTTGTCATCCTCAGAGAAGTTCTGCATGAGCCAGACAGAGAGGAAACTGGTGAGTGAGGTATTTTATTAAGTAGACGGATGGATGGATGGATGGATGGATGGATGGATGATGGATGAAGAAAAGGATGGGTGGATGGATGATGGGTGGGTGAGTGGGTGGATGATAATTAGATGATGGATGGATGGGTTGGTGGATGATGGATAGATGGATGGAGGGATGATGATAGGTGGATGGATGGATGAAGGATAGGTGGATGGATGGATGGATGATGAAAGATAGGTATATGGACAATGGATGGGTAGATGGATTGATGGATGGATGGATGATGGATGGGTAGATGGATAAGTGGATGGATGGATAGGTGGATGGATGGATGGGTGGATGGATGAAGGATAGGTGGATGGAAGATGGTTGATGGATGATGGATGGGAAGACAGATGTCTGACACTGGAGAGGTTTCCTCTGGTCCAGAAATAAATTAAGGCAGAATTGCCAGCAAGCAGGAAGTGCTAGCTCTGGCTGCTTGAGAGCAGATGACCTTCACAGGCTCCTAGTGTGGAGCCTGTAGTCTGGGAGGTCGGGGGGTGGAGGCTGTGTTGATCTGGGTCCCACAAACTTACATCGAAGTCCACTTTCTCCCCTTCTGGGATCTTAGGAGCAGTGAGTCTGAAGAAGAGAGAGAGGCTCGTGAGTAGGGGCAGGTGGAGACCCTACCAGGGGGTTGGCCCTCCTGCCCTCTTGCCCGGGCACCCAGCTGAGGACACACTGCCTGACCTTTGTTCTGGTCAGGTGTACATCCCACTGTCCCCAAAATGGCCCGACCTCTTTGAGAACGTTCCAGTCTCTTTTCATGTCCCTCTGTTTTGATAACATCTGGACACGGAAAGGGCTGTTTCTCCCACATCTGTCTAGGAAGGGCACTCTCACTTTCTCTCTCACACAGATAAAGAAATGCAGCTAGGCCGGACCAGAGGCAGGCTGGTCACTGCAGGCCCCCAAGGGCTGTTGGCCTCTGCAGTCAGGAACAGCTATCTGGACACTTTGCATGTCTCCGACCCATCCTGAATCTTTCTTTCTGGGGACCCAAAGGAAGGGGGCTGGGTCAAAAGCAGTTTGGGGAAGAAATGAGCCCCCCGGATCGGGCTGGCTGTAACTGCCGTCAGCCCCGGGCCCTGCCCCCGTACATTCCAGATGGAGCAAAGAGTTAAAACAACAACACGGTTTTTCAAAACAAGCCACAGAAGAAAGTGGAACTGAATATGGACCCAAATGCTGGAACGGGAGAGGCTTTCCTAAGCTCAGAAGCATCAGAAGGTCCCGCTAGGGGAAAGATGGCCAGACGACTCCACGCAAATGAAAAACTTATGTATGTGAAGAAAAAAAAAAAAAAAAAAAGCAAAAATTGAAAGGGGAAAAAAAAACCCCAACCCAGACTAGAAAAATATTTTCAGCAAGCACAGAGAAGACTTATATCCTTGTGCAAACCGATGGCTGAGAACACGTGGAGACGTCTCTGCCGTTAGATAAATGGGCAGGAGGCGCGCGCTGCCAAGTCTTGGGAAGAAAGGCGGCCAGTTAGCAAGCGCGCGGGAAGGGCTCCTGGCCATCGGAGGCGTGCGAACACAAGCGGCCCTGAGAGGCCCCCCTCATCCATCAGTGTCCCCGGGCGCGGCAGCGCGGGGCACAGACCCGCTCACGTCCACGGCGGAGCCCGCGCTGGCACGGCCCCCGTGGAAAGCAATTTGGCAGCGATCGTCAAAAGCCTGAAGAACGTTCATACTCTTTGACCCAGTAATTCCAGTTCTGGGAATGTGGCCTAGGGAAATAACCCGAAAGACGGAAAATGCTTTCCATCCAGCATTATTTATGATAGTAAAATATTGGGGAAAGCCTTAATGTCCTGCAGAAGAGGAACGGTTAGAAAAATTATGGTTTGTCCAATTGATGGAATATTATGTGGCCATTCAAAATATTTAAGAAGACTATGTAAAAACACGGAAAAATACTTATGAATAGTGCTAAATTTTAAAAAAGCAGAATTGAAGGTTGTATAGACAGTACGATGTTTGAAAAACAGCTCAGAGTTTAAATCTTTTTTTCCGAGCCCGACGCACGGAAAGAGTAGGAAGAAATAAGGCTTTTATTCCTCCCTGCTCCTTCCCACAGTCTGGCTGGCGGGCCGGGAGAGTTATAGACGACTTTTTTTTCTTCATTGGACTTTTACGTATTTTCCAAATTTTCTTTAATGAGGTGTTTTATTTTCATAATGAAAACACAAACATTTTTTTAAAACTAGAAAATATCTGGGACCCAGCAGCTTTATTTAAAATTGCTGAAAAATAAAGTGCAATGGATGGAAATGTGCCGGCTGTGCCCTCGACACACAGCCGTGTCCGTGGACCCCCGAGGGTACCCCATGCGGGAGCAGACCCCGGGCGTCCTGGTGGGCAGCGCAGGGTGCAGGCGGGATGCTCGGAAGGACAAGGGGGATGAATCACGCCCTGTGCACTTGCAAGTGTTCATCCAACACATTAGATTCAGAATCGTGAGGTTAAAAAAAAAAATCTCTGAAATGCTCACAAGTGGGTAAAACAAGGGAAAGACCCTCCAGACAAGGAGACGGCTCCCCAGAACCCCAGGGCAGTGAAAAATGGCATATCCACCAGTGGTTTTGTTCTGAAGGGGCTACTGGGACCCTCCCTCCACCTACCTCTCACAGCTGCCTCTCAGCTAGGACCTGGGGGGGACCCTACAGCAGGCAGCCAGCGGTAGGGGTCCAGGAGCCCAGGAGGGAGCTCTGTGGCACCCCCTCTCTCTGGCCTGTCTCCCTCAACCCCCTGTTCCCCATCCCTCCTTGGCCTCCTCCTGCAGGAAGTCCTCCTTGCCCACCCTGGACGACCAGCCCACAGCCACACCTCACTGGGCCCCCAGAATTAATTTCTGCTTCTCTTTTTTTTTTTTTTTTAAAGATTCAAGAGAATCTTTTTTTTTTTAAGTTTTTTTTTTTTTAATTTTTATTTACCTACGATAGTCACAGAGAGAGAGAGAGAGAGGCAGAGACACAGGCAGAGGGAGAAGCAGGCTCCATGCCGGGAGCCCGACGTGGGATTCAATCCCGGGTCTCCAGGATCGCGCCCTGGGCCAAAGGCAGACGCTAAACCGCTGCGCCACCCAGGGACCCCTAATTTCTGCTTCTCACTGGGGATGCGGCACCCAGGTGGACTCTGCTCCCCACCTGCGGGAGAAGGCATAAGCTGCCCCCAATGATCCCATTATCACCACGTGCCTTTGTCGGACCTCTAGAGCTTTAAACATCAAATCAAGGAGCAGAGATGAGGCTGCTCTCTCTCAGGGGTTTGGGGTGTCCTCCCCACAGAACCCAAATGTGTCATCTTCCCAGGTGATCTCCTCCAGTCTCCCTCTGTCCTCCCTGGTGTCCGGACCTGCCCGGGCCCTGCACTCACCTGGGTCTTGGCTTCTCCTCTGGTCACCACAGCGCCAGCATGGGGAGAGGGGAGAGAAATCGGGTGAACCGGGGGGCCTGCTTCTGCCCACGGGCTCCTGGGGACCTCTGGCTGGGGGCTCCTGCCTGGAGTCCTGCCTGCTTCCCCCTCTCCAGCTGAACCTACCACCCATGCTCCTGTCCTGCCAGCAACAAGAGAAGGTCCCTGTGGGGTCCCAGGGGAGCTCAGGGTGCACAGACTAGGATGTGGTGCAGGAGGGGAGACACAGGAGGAAGGAGGGGCTGGAAGCCAGAGGCACAGAGCCCTTGGGGGCCAGGCAGCGGGGGCTGCGGGAGTGGGGCCATGGGGGCCAACACCAGCTGGGGTATCACCCTTCTTCCCTTGGTGCCCTGGCCGGGACCCCATCAGGGTCCTGCCCATCTGGGGACTGGGCGGAGGAGCTGGCCGCTGGCTTCTTTGAGTCTCCATGGGGGGTTGGTGGAGCCCACCCTGTGAAGCCGAGACCCTCCCTAACACTGGAGCCTTGGGGCTGGGGGTGTGTGGTCCCTGGGCCTGATTCCTGGGCTTATTGGGTGACCCAGTGGATCTGGAACAACCAGCGTGCCGGGGGCCGTTGAGGCCTTGCTCATTGTAGCCCCAGGCAGAGGGCCCGGGGTGAACCCTCAGATGGAGCCCCCCCACGGTGGCCCACGGGGCCGCGGCTAAAGGGGCCCCCGACCTCCCTAGGGAATCTTAAGAGGCTTTTCCTCCTGAGGCTCCTGGGGGGCCACAGGGCATCCAGACCGAGGACCAGCCCCCCACCTGCCTGCATGGGCCTGGCTGCCTCTGAGCATCCCCACTCCCAGGCCTGGGGAGGCCCCACTGGCCAGCTCTCGGCCTGGGCTCTGCACAGCTGAGCAGGGTCTTGCCCTCGCCCTCAGTCTCTGCTCTCCGCAAGGCCCTCTGCCCATCTGAGAACATGGCTTCGACTTCCTGCATGGCCTCCTCTGCCCTCGGCAGCCCAGGCGTGGGGCTGGGGTCTGCCTGCATATGCACTTGGTGTATCCCCCTCGGCCGGGCTTCCCCTGGATGCACAGGGGCCCACCGCAGGCCCACAGATGGCGCCTTGGCCATTTTGTAAGTCGGCTTGATGTCACCCTCTCCCTACACCTTGGGGGGAGGGGGCTGTGATGTGGGGAAACTGAGGAAGAGAAGGGATGTGGTGGGAGCAGGAACCCCAGAGCAGAGGGGCAGAAGGAAGGGGCTGAGGTGTGTTTGCTCTCTCTGGGGGCCTAGCTGGAGCGGGCCATAGGGGCAGGGGGCAAGGGGAGCGGTGCCATGCTGCAGAGCGGTGGCCAGCGGGGGACAGCCTGGCATCCCCGCCTCTTGCAGGCCTCAGGGTGGGTCCCGGGGTGCCCGGTGACATTGTAGCCCCTACCGGCTAGATCCCTGGACACCTCTGCCTGCACGGCTGGGCGTCCACCCCGCAGCACTGGGCCAGCACCCCCTGCATCTTCCAGGTGGCCTCTCTGGGGCCAGGAGAGGGAAACTGTCAGGGTGGCGTGCAGGGGTCGGGCCCAGCCCAGAGGCCCCCATGGCCCCACTGAGTGGAGAGGCCCTGACTGGAACCTGCGTCTCCCCCACTCCACTGAGGCTCGGCCCACCCAGGGGTCTCCTCACACCCGGGTGTGTCTGGCCCTGGCCTAGGTGGTGGGGAGAATGCCTCCTCTGCACTCAAAGCCCCTGGCTGTTCCAGGTCACTGCTGTCCTGCCCGAGGCCTCTGCTGACTCTCCGATTCACCCCACTTGGCCCTCATGCTCCCCTCAGCCTTACCCCTCCTGACCCCCCTTCTCTGAGGTGCTGTATGGGGCAGGGCAGAGGCGCCCACTCTGTCTCTCCTCCTCTGCTCTTCTCCACCCGACCCTGTTGGTCCCGAGGGTCCTGGTGGACCTCAGCACCGTTTCTGGCCCTGGGCTCTGTGTTCGATCTTGGGACTAGCTGCCCCCGCCTTCCTGCTGGTGGCCCAGGAGGGGCCTCACCCCCACAACCCCTGCATGGTGCATGTGGTGGGGGCCTAACCTCTCTCACTGTGGTCTCAACCCATGGGAAGGTGGGGGGTCAGGTAGGGAGCAGGAGGGGGGCGGCAGGGGGCGTACCTTCCTGGACCTCTTCTGCAGGAACAGCACCAAGGGATGGCGGGAGGAGAGAGAGAGAGAGAATCACCTGTGAGCCTCGGCAGGGGCCGTGGGAGGGGCAGATGCGGGCGTCTGAGTGCAGCCACACTGTGAGTAGGTTACACCGCCCCTCTTGCTCCTGCGTGGCCCGAGTGCCCGCTCACACCCACACGTGGTCACACGTGTGCACAGGCGCCCACACGGGACTGAAGTCATGGCACATACCTGGTTCATGAACTTCATGGGGAAGGGAGGGCACGGAACAAGAGGCAATACCACGCGTGGGTCAGAGGTCAAAGGAGGAAGGATCCGAGGTTAATGGAAACACCAGTCACCATTCAGGAGGGTCAGTGGCCGAGGACAAGGGGCAGGGAGTGTGCGGGAAGCCAGCGAGACATGGTCAGTGTTGGCAGGCAACCCCCCCAATCCCATCCCTGCCTCGCTGACCTGACAGGGAACCAGGGCTCAAGGGTGGATCTGGGGGTCATCAGGGTCCCTGCCTCTCCTCAACCCCCAGGAGGGCCTAGCAGGGCCTGGCAGCCTCTGGCTGGGGCCTGGTCAGGTGGAGGGCAGGACCTACAACCCAGGGAAGCAGACCCAGAGGGTGCCTCGCTTCCTGCCACCCTGAGAGCAGGGCCCACCTGCCCTTCCTGTCCTGCCTCCCAGGGCACACAGATGTGGGTGCCTCCCTCAGCTGCTCTGCTGGTGACCCCTCTGGTTGTCCACCTGGATCCTGGGAGGGGCTCACAGAGCGGATCGAGGAAGATGGCCAGGGAATGACATGGTCCCTGTTGGGGGCCAATGGGCTGGTCCCTCCATCAACCTGTGTTCACCCACCATCTGGCCTGGGGCCCTGACCCAGTTAAAGGGTCAGATTTGGCTGTGGGCTCTCAGTTACCCACCCTGGGCTGGAGGCAGAGGTTCAGGGACAGTGAGGCCAGGCCCGCCCACCACCAACAAGGGTCCCTGTGCTGGGGCATGAGCTCCGTCTGCAGCCCAGCCTGAGTCCAAGGTCCATGCATGGCCCTCGGGGACCCTCCACCCCACCCCCGCTCTGGTCAAGCATTGGCCACGGTTAGTGGGTGCTGTTAGGGCCACATGTGGGAGTCCTTTGCTGGCTGGCACCCCGCTCCTCCCTGCCCTCTCCCCCACCCTGCGTGGGTTCCAGCCAGGCCCTGAGCCCCACATGGGGACCAGAAGTCCTGTGTCCTCATACCTTCTTTGTGGACTTCTGTAGCTAGAGGGGCGCCAGGTGTACAGGCAGCAGGAGGAGAGAGGAGAGGTTAGGCCAAGGGCACACTGCATGTCCTTAGGGGGTAGGGGCACAAGGGCCAAGGGTGCGGGGTAGGGACTGGGGTCCTGGACCCACTTACCTTCCTCCTGGGCCTCCTCTGGGATGGGGGCAGTGGGCATGGGAGGGGGAGAAGAAACAAAGACAGTCATTAGTGATGCACCCGTGGTGGCAGGGAAGGAGGCCAGCCCCCGGGAGAGGGGACAGCTGGTGTGGGGGGCCAAAGGTGATGAGCCCAGGAGACCTGGGCCTGGCCCCCGCTTCAGTCCCGTGACTACTCCTGGACCCCAGGATTCCCACCCCTCACTCCCTCCTTGGGCCTCAGGACCCTGCCTGCCCACCCCAACGGGGGTGCCTTCTTGGGAGGACCTAGCCAAGTCCTGCTCTGCAGGTGATGGATGTGAGGATGGGCGGGACTAAATCCACTGTTGTAGGGAAAGCCCGGGAAGTCTGGGCGAGCCACACAGCCTCTGAGCGAGCCCGGGGTGACGTGGATGCTGAGGGTCTTGGAGGAAACGGGGGCAGGGGGCCCTTCCTGCCCATCACATAGACCTCCCTGGGGAAGGGGCGGCCCCCCAGGACCACATGTCCTGCTCAGAAATGAGTCTTTCCACCTTTTCAGCACAAAAAGAAATGTTTTGCTCACGTTGTTAGGGTAGCCAAGTGTTTTCAAAATATTTTCAAAACATAGCACCCAGAACGCCTCACGGCCGAGCCCTGCCTGATGAAGTTGCGTGAAAGCCTCCCCAGGGTTGAGCGGGTGCCAGGGATTCGGGGGGAGCTCCCACCCGTCTTGAGAACCACGTCTCTGCACGGTTCCCAGGTGCGGCGGCTCTCCTGCACCCCACACCTGCCCGGGCACGACCAGGAGGCTCCCACAGATGCCGGGCCACACGAGGGAGGGGTCTCCAGATGAGTCCGGAGGTTAGGGCCCCAAGGCAGGGATGCTGAGAGACAGGGGGACACAGAGACAGCGGGACACAGGGAAGGAAAGACACACAGGGTCTGCACAGTCCGGCCCTTGGTATTAACGAGGGTGAGTTGGAAACCACGTGTCAGCTCTGTCCACACAGCACTACCAGGATGGGGATTAGTGAACAATTAATTAATGAGTTTGTCTAGTAGTGGATGAGGAGATGGGAGATTAGCAAGTGGCATTAATGATGGGGAGGACAGGCAGGTAACCAAAGTACGGGCTCCGAGAAGCCCCATGGGGGTGAGACCCAAGCAGAGTGGGGCAGCCGGGGTCAGGGTGGGGGACATGCAGAACTGCCAGGATTACCTTCTTCCTCGTACTGCTCTGCAAGGGGATAGAACACAGGAGCTGTGTCGGGGGGGGCCCCCAGGATCCCGCTGCCCCGCCCCCAGGCCACTGAGGATGGAGCCTGGGGGGCCTCAGGCTCTGGAGGAGGTAAAGCCTCCGGCGAGGCCAGCGGCCCAGTGAGGTGGAGATGGGGTGCGGGGCCCAGTGCCTGAATGGCCAGGTCCCCAGGGAAAGGTCGTGGGGCCAGAGACCCCTGGCCTGAACACTGCCCCCAGACAACTGTGGAGGGCAAGTGGGGTGTACGGGGTGGGGTTTAGACGAGACCACATCTGGGGATGTGTCCTTAGAGGAAGAGGGGTCCTCTTGCTCAGAGGAGGTTGGTCTAGCGCAGCAAAGCTCAGACTTCCTTCCAGGGTTCCCAGGGAGGACCGTGCTGTCCACGGTCAGGCGGGCCTGTCTCGAGTGTGACTTTTCCTTGGGGGTTGGGGGCGGACGCATTTGACACTTACCCTCGACCTGCTCACTGTTGTGGGGGTCAGGGGTGGGGGGAGAGAGAGAGAGAGAGAATGGGTGAGTGCGGCTTTCACTCAGTGGCCTCTGCACACAGCCCAGGTCCAGGGGCGCACGCAGGGCGCGCAGGGCACGCAGGGTGGGTGGTTCCTCAGATGGGTACTCACACTTCCTCGTCAGACATGGTGGCGGGACTGTTTCTGGGGGGGAAGGAATGGGACCAGAGTCAGAATGGCCTTGGTCTGCAAGTGTTGGAAGGGGTGAGCACTGGGCGCCGAGGGCTGGGGGTGTGAGGATATCCAAGGACAGGGTGGAGGCCAGCTCTCCGGCCTTGGGCGGGCCTCCTCCTCAGGCCCCCCCAGGCCTCCTCGCCTCACTCAGATCCCACCCCGCCCCCCTTCCTGCCCTGGCTCCAGCCTGGAGTTTGGAATCCCGGGGCTGGACGGGATATTGGAAGGTCGTGGTGTCCACCCCCACCCAGGGCCGACATCCTCTCTATAGCATTCCCCGAGGAGGGTCATCCAGAATGCACGGTGCTTGTCCAGCCTGTTTTGGACTGCAGAAGAGTCCTGCTGATGTGGCTCGAAACCTGCTTCTCGATGGTCTCTGCCTTTGGGCTGAGGTGTCCGGGGTGGGGGTGGGGTCCCTGGCGGCCCCTAGATCACAGTGTGCCGGGCCTTGCCAAGTCTTCACACCCTGCCATCCCTGTGACAGCCCTTCCTGCTGTGAGCCCGCAGCTCCCTTCCCCACCTGAGGGTCTCCTATGGGGACCCCACGTCCTCCTACAGGGACCCCACGTCCTCCTACGTGGGTTCCCTGGGGTCCTCCACAGCCCTGGGCCGTGCCCTCTCCCCAACTCTCCAGAGTGCACCACCCCGCCACAGAGCAGACTGGACCCTGAGCTCACGGGGCCGGGGTCTGAGCTGTTTCTCCATGTGTCCCCCAGCCCAGGGCCCTGAGCAGGAGCGGAGTGGACAGCCCCCTCTGGCCAGCCCTCCTCAGCCTGCGTTCCCAGGCCCCGTGGATGCTCTTGAATTTGTCAATGTCTGCAGGGAAGCTCTGTGCCCGGGCCCTGCACACGTGTGCAGGTGCGGCCGGCGCCAGGCCTGTGCGCTCGGGGACCCTGGTTCCGTGAACTGGCCACCGTGCACGCCTGAGGCGGTCCGGGGCCTGGGAACGCTCTGAGCAGCTGCATCAGAATGTTGGCCCGGGGCTGAAAACACAAAGTTCATGACAACATATTGCAGCTCAGTTGAAGACAATAGCTGTGCCCCCCCCAGGGAGCTTCGTATAAGAAAAACACAAGCTCATCATCTAAAGATGCATTTACATCACATCCATCGCTAAGGTGGGAACAGTTTTCCGAAGCCTCTGTCAAGAATGTTAATTTTCCCAGTGCAGTTTAAGCTCTAGGCAAAATTAACCCCCGGATCTCTGCTCCCCGAGTCCCAGCCCAGAAACGGCCGGGCTCCTTCCCGAAACAGGACTCTGCTGCCCCCTCCAGTTCCAGCCTCCTGCCTTGTGTGCCACTGGGGGTCTCAGCCTCCTGGGGGGCCCTGTCACAGCCCCTTGTCCCCCACCTTGTCCCTGACCCAGCCCGGGGCCTCGCCCTGCTGGCCCCCCTCAGCCCTGGCAGGGCCCTACACCTGTCGGCAGCCTCAAGTGGGGGCGGTGGTGGCCCGAGCCCAGGGGCCGGTTATTTTTAAGGAGCCAGTGGCAGCTGAGATGTCCAGAAATAGGCACCCAAATTAGCCAAGACACCTCTGTCCAGAAACCCAAGACGCAGGGAGGGGGGCTGTGCGGGTGGCCGGCACTCAGGGCTCCGCAGGGCCAACTCCCCCCGCACCCTTGCAGGTGTCCCAGGCCCGCCTAAGCTCCCGCATCTCACCCTCCTGCCTTCTGGGGTGCAGGCCAAGGGGCCACCCAGAAGACCCCGTAACCCCAGGCAGGGTGCCTGGAAGCCCCACAGCATGGGCAGCAAAGCCTCACTCGCACAGGGAAGTTGAGGCTTGTCCAAGGTCCTGCCCCCACAGCCGGAGGGAGCCCTGAAGGCCACACCACGGAGCAGCTCTGTCACCTCAGCTTGCTGTCTGTTGGGGAGGGGTCAGGGTGGGGTGTGCTTGCTGGAGGGCAGGGGACAGCTCAGAAGGAAGTCAGTTGTCCTTTTCGTGCTCTGCCCTCGGTGAGGGTTGGGGTGTGAAAATAGCCCCTGAGGTCAGAGCTCCTCGGAGACACACACCCTCCTGCCGTCCTCCCCTCTTTCCCAGGTGACACAGGTGGGGGGGATAAGGGGGGCTGTGGGCCCCAGGCCGTGTCGCATCGGCCCTCGTCCTACCCTGAGCTTGCTCCTTGCCCTGATGCCCCCCACGATGGCCGAGGGCACAGGGAGGGCGGGAAGTCCAAGGAGCAGGGGTGGGGCCTCTGGGCACACGTGCTCCCCCTCCTTGGGCAACTGGACGGATCCCAGGTGCCCATTGCGTGCCTCCCCCAGCCCCGTTCACTCCTGTCCTTGACCTGTGGGAGCTGTCCCCCAGGTCCCCCTCACCCTTTCCTCATGGAACTGCTTCTGGGGTGAATGACACAAGACCCCTCGTGTTTGTCTCCACACATGGTGGGGTTGGAGGCAACTACCACATAAGGCCAGAGCTCCCGGCTTCTGCGAGGAGCTGGCCTCGGCCCCCCAGCTTGCCGAGCCCCGAGGGAAGGCCCAGGTGGCCCCGGGAGCGATCCAGGGCATAGCAGTAGGTGGCCCTCGGAGCTGTGGGCAGTGCCCATCCCGGGCTCCTCATCTCCCTCCAGCCCGCTGCCCCTGCTCCCTCCAGGGAGCCCCCACTTGCCTCCTCGGGCCTCCCTCGCTGCTGGGCTGGATTCGGAGCTGCGTCCCCCATGTTCAGAGAATGTTACCCTCCATGCCAGCACCCTTGGGACCCTGGGGTGGCTTTGTGGGTTCTCTAAGCTGTCACACTCAGAGCTAAGACACATGCAGATATGGCACCCTGAACCCTCAGCACCCCGGGACCCCAGATGCGTGTCTAGTGTTGGGCCAGCCCTGCCCAGCCCTGGGCCATACCAACCTGTGGCTGAGTCTGGAGAGAAGAGCTCCCTGTGGACAGGACCGGCTCAGGCACTGCCCGCTCGGCTCATGCCCTCATGTTATAGTGACATTTGATCTTGCCCAGCAGCCCATTGGCCAGGGGCTGGGTGGCCGGGCTCGTAGGGCAGGCGGGAAGGGGCTGTGCCCATGTAGGCCCCTTACCAAGTATAGGAACAGCAGAGGAGGAGGCCTGAGGAGGCGAGGGTGGGGGGGACGTGTCTGGAGAAGGAGACAAGGTCCACCCTCCTCCCCCGGGAAGTGTCAGCTTCTATTTTTACCCCTCCACCCCCACCCCGACAGAGGGCACATTCCTGATGGGCTGAGGAGGGGTGGCAGGAGGGACTAGGTGGCCCCAGGGACACAGCCCAAGGCTCTCCTGGGTCCCCAGACTGGGGCTCTTACTCCCCAGCCCAGCCGCCCTCCCCCGGAGATGTCCCTACATGCCCACCTGCCTCCTCCATCAGAGCATGTGGCCTGAGGTCTCAGGGACCCCCGTGGAGTAGAGAGCCCTGTGAGTCCCCAGCCAGACCTCCAGCTGTGCCTTGTTTAGTGACCAGACCTGGGACATGCAGGACAAATGGGTGAGATGGTAACAGCCCAAGTAGGATCTCCAGCACTGAGGGTCCTCCCGAGCCCTAACCCAAGGCCGGAGCTGCACTTCCGCCATCAGTCTGGCAGCTCCTCCTGTCAGGGTCCAGACCCCGGGCCTCTCTCCCCACGGCCAGGTTCAGTGTGCCGCTCACAGGCGCTCCACCATGTCCCCGTGGAGCCTGGCCGTTCTGTCCTTGGGACTCCAGGTGGCACCATCCACCCGGCAGACATGGTGCCCAGGCCTCGGATGGTCCCTCGCTTGCTGGCAAGGCCACCAGCTTCAGTGGCTCTGCCTCTCGGATTGGGGAAACTGAGACACGGAGATGGGCCAAAGCCATTGGGCACCTCAATCCAGACCCAAGGGCTCTGGGCGAGGGGCTGCCAAGCATGGACAGTGGGGTCTGTGGGATGGCTTGACCCAGGGCAGTAGCTGATGGGCCAGCCCGGGCCTGGGGTGAGCCCTGGGCAGATGCAGGTGAGGCCTCTGCCCTCTGGAGGCTTGGAGTCAGAGACGTCAGTGTGACCGGCAGGAGACTCACCGGCCCCGGTCCCACCTGGCTCTGTGCCCCCTCTGGGTCCCCAGAGGCTTCTGGAAGATTTGCGTGGCACCTCATTCAATTCCTACAAATTGGAGATAAGGCCACAGGGACCCAAAACAGGAGAGGCATGCCCAGAGTCACACAGCGAGGGGGGCAGAGACCCTCTCCTGCCCACCTCCCCGAGGTCTGGGCTGCTGGGGACACCCCTGCCCTCCTCGTCTGAACGGGTTCCTCACATCTGATACTCTTCCCTCTGTTCTCTTTCCCTGCCCAGGTGCTCAGATGGACAAGGGCTTGGAGGGCTTCTGGGCCAATTCCACCCAGTGGGACCTCTCAAGGCTCACTTGTGGGGAGGGCTCCCCAAGTGGCTCCCGGGGGACTGCTGTGACCACCTCCTCTGCGTGGTGGGGCTTCCCTTCTCAGGTTTACCAGCTTTGCTAGCTTCTCTCACTCTGCTAGCTGAGAGCTGAGGACACCCCTGCACACACACACACACACACACACACACACACACACACACAGATGTGGGCACACACAGGTGGGGATGGTGTGTTTGGGGGCCTTGGGCCCCATCTGCAGGCCGTGCTGGGGCTTGGCCTGGGAAGCCCCGGGCACAGCCAGCCCCACTCACACTGCCGGTGCCCTGCTCCCGGGGGCTGCCGGCCGCCCCTCATGCAGGCCCGGCTGGGCATGCCACGGGCCCTGCAGTGGCCCTGCTCGGCCAGCAGAGGAGGGTGGCTGCCCGTTCAGTGGCCTCGGCCTCTGGCAGGTGCTCTTCCGTGATCAGGCCAAGCCAGAGAGCGGGCGCTGAGGTCAGAGGAATAGCACAGGTTTTATTTTGGTATCCGTGACCTCCTCCTCGGGGCACCAGGCCCGTGGTGCCACGGGACAGTATCGAGCAGGCACTGCTGGACAGGCCACAGGCCTCCGAGAGCCTTCGACAGGTAATCCACACCCCGGTCCACCTGGCCCGGCCAGGCTGGGGCCAGGGGAGAGCGGAAGGGCAGGGGCCTGCCCAGGGGGCTGGAGGGGGCCTGGGGACCTGGGCTGGGGGCAGGGGATGGGGGTGGCCCAGCTCTGGTTGGGGCAGATGACCGAGCTCAACCCCAGAAGGGGGTTGTCTAGGCGGACCTCAGGGACAGTGCAGCCCAGGGACAGTGGGGGTGGGCTTCTGGAGCCGGCAAAGCTGAGTGAGGCCGCAGAGCAGGGAGGAAGTCAGGAGAGAGCGAGGTGCCCCCCCGACCCCCCGGCTTCAGCTGTCTTTGGGGGTGACCCCAGGGTGGGAGAGCAGGAACCCTTGGTCAGGGTCCTGGCCCCAGTTTGTGTGGATGGACTGGCGGGTCCCAAGGGCTCATGAACCGGTCTTGGGTACCCATGCTGGTGCCAGCCCCACGGGCTTGCACTCTCCCAGGCCCCAGATAGAAGCTGCTGACGCAGCCCTTGGGGGATGATCCTCCCACAGCCCTGTGCCTCTGCCACCCCACATGCCTCGGTGCTTCTGCACCATCTGTAGACCACTGGTTTGCTCTGCCTTCCGTGCATGGGGCTGGCACTCGGTGGCTGGCACTCGGTGCCTGACACAACGAGGCTGGGGCGATTGCATGGGGTTCTCAGGCAGGCAGGACCGATGGCACAGGGGCAGTCCCTGAGCATTCCAAGCCAGGTACCCTTGGCCCTTCTGATCCTCTGGACCCTTTGGGTGGGCGGACCCTGACTCGAAGTCTCTGAGAGATGGGGGCCTGACATTGTGGCAGCAGTAATGTCAGCGGTGCTCAGAGGAGAAAAACTGTGGGTGCTCCTCCCCGAGGCTGGACCAGGGTACTGGCTGGCTGGCTGCCTGGCACCATCCACCCCACCTGCCTTTCATCCCATGGTGCCATCCATTCTGGTCCTGTCTCAGTGCCCAGCAGTGGACCTTGCATGGCCACCTCTGCTGCTGCCCTTGGCGGATGTCCCATCCAGCAGAGTGGGAAGGGAGAGAGGCATGTCGACTGGGAGATGCTCTCCAGTGGCAGAGCGTGGCCCGGGATGCAGTCTCTAAAGGGGGCCATGGGTGAGAAGAGATGGTTGTGGCTTCGTGGAGTTTTAACACTCCTGACTTGTCCGTATTTACAGCATTCTCAGGGAGACAGGCAGATTGTGATCCCAAAGACTTCAAAAACAAAAGACATGAACAAAGCCAGGCCTAGAACACCTGCTCTTCGAAGGAGGTCCCCAGATGATGAGGGCAACAGGGCCCAGGGCTCATGAGCATGGCCCCCCACCTGTCTCCTCCTTCACTTCTGACCCACTCCCCCCCATTTGTTCCCATATATCCATTCTCACATTCACTAGCTTCCTTCCTCCCTTCCACTGTCCATCCAACCAGTGTCCAGCTATCCCTCAGCGCACCCACCTAGCCAATTGCCCACCCACTGTCCATGCGGCAAGCACTGATCCAACTGCTTCTCCACCTCTTCTCCCATCTGCTGTCCTCACAATGATTCTTTGTCCATTCACCTTCTGTATATCCACCCATCTGCCCATCCATCTCGTCTTTATCTACCTAACCATTCCTTGCCCAAGATTCATCCACTCGCCTTTTTTTTTAAAGATTTTATTTATTTATTCGTGAGAGACAGAGAGAGAGAGAGAGAGAGAGAGAGAGAGAGAGAGAGAGAGAGGCACAGACACAGGCAGAGGGAGAAGCAGGCTCCATGCAGGGAGCCCGATGTGGGACTCGATCCCAGGTCTCCAGGATCAGGCCCTGAGCCGAAGGCAGGTGCTAAACCGCTGAGCCACCCTGGCTGCCCTCCACTAGGCTTTCTATTTATACATCAGTCCATCTACTCATCCATCCCTCCACCCCTTCACCCATCCATCAATCCATCCGTCTACCTACACTTTCATCTATTATCCATCCATCCATCCATCCATCCACCCACCCATCCATCCATCCAATCATCTATCCATCCATCCCTCCACCCATCCATCTCTCCACACACTCACCCACCATCTACATCTGTCCATCCACCAAATCTTCATGGAGCATCTCCTGGGTCCTAGGATGGGGGATAACCCCAAGGGGGGTGGGTTTTTTTGGAGGTAGCACAGGCTAGGGTCAAAGACCAGAAATGCTCACTGGTGTAGTTAAGTTTAATCAGGGCAGTCAAGGGGAAAGCATCACAGGTATTCTGGAAGAGGAGGGCTGGACCCCAACCATCACGTGGGCCCCAACATAAGCCACCACACACCTCAGATCTCAGAGTCTAACATTGCAGAGGGTCATGGGATGGGACAGAGTGTCTGAATCTGGAGGCCAGAGGTCTGGGTGGTAGCATTGTCCAGGGTGGGTAGGGAGGGTTTTCCAACTGGGCTGGCCCTTCTCCCTTGTCAGTCCTCAGTTAGTGAACACAGAACCACCATTTGGAACACACAAACTTTATTGCACTAGAAGGAGGAGGTTGCAAGCAGGAGGCGGGGGGTGCAGGGCTTGAGAATGTGGTACGGGTGTCTCTGTCTCTTGACCTGGAGGTCCCCCAGCAGGTATTCTCTCTCTCTGCTCAGCCTGGGCCTTCCTTGGGAACCCTTGGCCTCTGCGGGATGGCTCCTTGGGTCAATCACCAGTGATAGTCCCTTTCCTGCTCCTGCCATGCGAGGCAGAGTGGGAGGCAGGGCGGTTAGAGAGTGGGAGGGGAGAGAAGTCAGGTGGTTGAGGAGCAGAGGGGCGATGATTGTGGTGGGTGATGGAGGGGTGCGGGCAGGCCAAGCGGGCCATGACGGTGGCTCTCATGGCAGGGCTGGGGTGGGCATCTGGTGGACTCTCCCCTGCAGACGTGGACGCTGCTGCCAGAATCACCTGTAGTCTCAGGAGAGCTGAAACACAGGTGTGGGTGGGAGCATAAGGCTGTGGTCTGGGGAGGGGATACCCATCATGCCCTCCATGCTCCCAGCCCATTTCCGTAGGCCACCTTGCCTACGCTCCCCCCGCCACCCCCAGGGGCAGCCTCCCTGCTCCAGACATGGAAGCCCTGTGTCTGCTTCCACCGTGGAAGCTTGTTTCCTGATGCTGGGCCCCAGGGCCCTGGACCTTTGCAGGACTCAATGTGGAGGGAGCTCTGCCCATCGCCTGCTCGCCTGCTACCCGGCAGCCCCAGAGCTAGACCTGGCATGCCCCGGTTCCTGGGGTCCTGGGCCCCCAGAAGCAGGCACAGCCAAGAGGGAGCCCCAGGCAGACCCCTCAGGCCCCTCCCCAGGCCGATCTGCTCCTGCCTGACAGAGCCAGCCCCCACAGGGCGGCAGCTCTGGGCCTCCTTCCTCCCACAAACCGGCTGGCCTCTGGCTTGGCCCAGACGCCATTTGTCAACGTCCTTGCAAGCACGTGGCGCCCAGAAACCAGGGCGGGCGGCTTGGCCAGGACCACCCCAGCCAGGATGTCTGCGGGAATATCCCATTTAGCGTAGCTCAGCGAAAATTGCTCCCACCTCCCGGCCAATCTACCTCTGATGATGCAGCCTCAGCTTTCCTGAGCCTCTGGCCGCCACCCTCACCGCTGGCTCACAGTGGACGAGCCTGTGGTCAGACTGGCGACGGCGCGGCGCCCCTCACGCGTCTGCGGGCAGGCGCTCTTCCTGCCCTGGTGGGCCGCCGGCCCAGCACGTGCCTCCCCCTTGCAGCTTGCCCGTGGGTCTCACGGCCTAGGCTGTGCACCCAGGTGGTACCCTCCATCACCCACTGAGTGACTTGGGCCTCTGTGACCTCCTTTCTAAGCAAGCCAGAGGTGGAGCCACCCCACAGACTTGCTGACACAGACAGACTTGCTAGGGACATACCTGGCAGGTGACAAGGGCTCAGGAAGCAGAGCTTCTGGTGATCAGGTGGTGACCCTGTGGCCTCAGGTCCTCCCATATAATGGGGGAACCACATGCCCCTCACGGGAGGGGTGCGGGCAGTGAGGGGGACTAGCCTGATGGCTGTCCCTCTCCTCTCCAGGGAGTGACAATGCTCATCGTGGCTGGCATGTGTCCCCAGGGGCCCTCTGGACCCCCACCACCCCTGCTGCCCAAGCCAGGGAAGGACAACCTGCGTCTGCAGAAACTTCTGAGGAAAGCCGCCCAGAAGAAGATGACTGGGGGTGGGCCCCCCACACCGCTGGGGGCTTTCCGCACTTCCCTGTCCCCTGTGAGTGAGGCCAACCACGACCAGGAGCCCACGGTCCGGCGCCCTGCAGAGGCCCCACGGCCTGTGGCCACCCTGCCCCGCTCCCCACGCAGCTCCATTATCCACCACGTGGCGTCACCTCGGCAGAAGTCCATGTTCCCCTTTAGTTTCACCCAGTGCAGGAGCCTGGCTGCTCACTTCAAGGCCACGGGGCCCCAGCTGGTGACCCCGACCCTAGATCCCACCCAGGCCCCCAGTGGCTTCACACAGGTCTCAGCCCCTGCAGCAGGTGTCACCCACGTCAGCCACGTGCACATCCGGCTAGTGCCGTCTCCGCAGGCCGGGACCCCTGAGCCCTGCCAGACGGCCCCAGACCAGGGACCCGGTGGGCAGGACCCAGGCATGACCCCGTGCCCTCCTGGGGCCCAGCTCCCGTGCCCCATGGCCCACACCCACTCACTGCCTCCTGAGGCCCAGGCTGCCTGTCGCCGGCCTGAGGCACCCCCAGGCTCTGAGATCTCCGTGTCCAGAGAGGCCGGCACCCAGCCTGTGGTGCCTGTAGCCCCTGCCTACCGTTCCCCAGAACCCTCACCTCACAGGCCAGCCTCTGAGGCTCCCAAAGCTGAGCACTGGGAGGAGTCCCCCATGGCTGGCCCCGCCACAGAGGCTGAGCTAGTCTCCAGACCCCATGGGGCCTCGTCCCCTGCCCCGCTGTCAGGCCCACACCCGTGCCCTGTCCCGAAAGTTGCACCCAAGCCCCGGCTCAGTGGCTGGACACGCCTCAAGAAGCAGCTGATGGAGGAGGCAGAGGAGTCCTCGTTTCCAGGCCCGGAGCAGAGCCCAGAGCATGGGGAGCAAGAGGTGACGGCCCCCACAGGCCCAGTGTCCCGGCCCCCAGCCTCCAGGGCTTCCAGGATGTGGGACGCGGTGCTGTATCGTATGTCAGTGGCCAAGTCTCAGAGCAGCCCGGCTGGGCCTGGGGATGGGGCTGGAACCCTGACTCGCCTGGGCCGCCTGCCCTTCCTGTGCAGGCCACGATTCAATGCCCGGAAGCTGCAAGAGGCCAGCCGGCCCTCCCCTATGGTCCACTCCATCCCAGATCTGACCTCCAGGCCCAAGAACTTCAACCGGACGGCGGCTGGCTGGAGGCTCCAATGAGTGACCCAGGCAGCACCAGGGCCCAGGACCACGGTGTGGACGGAAGAGAGAGGGGGTCCAGCTGGGAAGCCATGGCCACCAAAGAGGGCACCAGGGCCCCACAGATGCTGGGTAGCCAGGGGGGCAGGTGAAGGGGTGACAGGAGGAAGGACCGCAGTGCAGGGGGGCTGGGGCTAGGACAGGTGGGGTGAGGGTGGAGGCCCATTTCCAGAGGCAGGGTCTGCCCTGGGGTGGAACCAGGGGTGGGCTGATGGGGTACAGGCTCACATGAGAGGGAAAGCACGTGCCATGGTGAGAAGGGGTGAGGATAATTTGACTCACATGGGTGGCCCTCAGCCTAGGACTTGGGCAAAGAGGTACAGGGTGGGTGCCCAGGACTCCTGAGGGCTGCAGGCAGGTGGGGAGGGCCTCTAAGCATGACATGGACTCTGAGGCCTGATAGGGTGAGGAGCATTCTGGGGCTCAGCTCTGCGGTGCCCCACCCACCATGAAGGACTGGGGAGGGATTTATGTTCACTGTGCAGAGTTCTGGGACCAGTCAGGGTCGGAGCTGCAGCTACATCAGTGGCTTGACTGATGTTTTAGGGAGCCAGACCCAGACTCTTGCCAACAAGGGGGAAAGGTGTGAGAGGGGGCTCACAGTGGGGCCGAAGCGAGGATGTCTCGCTGTGTGTTGGGGCCCAGCTCCGATGGCCAGGTGGGGAGGGTGTCCTCAGTCCCAGGGCAGGAGAGCCCAGCAGAGCGGTGAAGCAGTGAAGGGGACCCCAGGCTTCATGCAGCTTTGGGGCTCCCTGTCTACTGTCAGCTGGGGTCTGCCTCAGGGCAAGGGCCAGGGGCTCTGATGGGTCAGGAGCAATGGAAGAGGGACATGGAGGTGCCTAGGAGTAGGACGCAGGAGGGAAGAAGCAGTCAGTAGGCAGCCAGCTGTGTCACCCAGGGCGTAATGTGTGCTATAATGGATCCTGGGACCCAGGCCACTAATAAAGTGTGTCTAACCACAGCAGCTGACCATGTTTCTTCACCAGGTGATGGGCAGGGCGGTGGAAACTGGAGTAGACTCCCACTGGGAGAGTGAGACTAAGGTTCTGGTCCCTCAAAGACCCAGACCGAAGCTCCTAGGACCCCTTTCCACCCACCTCCTCTGACACTAGTCCTAAAGTGGCCAGGATGAGCTCATCTGCCTCCAAGGAGGAGATTAGAGTGTCCCTACACAGTAGAGCTGTGTATGGCTGAAGCCAGCCACCCGAGAAAAGCATTCAGTTCGGTGTAAGACTGGGCTTGGGCAGGGAGACCAAGCCAGGCTGGGGTTCCCGCCAGTTTCGAGGCCAGGCATTCGGCCCCTACAGGCCGCCCTGGCAGCCTGTAACAAGCAGGCCCTGTCCATACTGCCACAGTCCCAGAAGGGCACATGTCACACACACAACGCCTCATGCTTGGGCCACTGCCCTGGACTCACCAGGAAGGACTGCCTAGGGCACTGAGCCCTCATCCACGAGCACCTTCTCATACTTCCCATGTCCAGTGGCCACGAACTTGTATCTCTTTCCAGATGGGGTGCTCTGCTGGGGAAGGAGAACAAAGGTGAGAACAGAAGGGACATGCTGCTGCCTCTGGGAAGCCCTCCCAAATGCACTGAGCAGAGATCCTCTTTACTCTCAGCTTTTGGGCCTGCCCTCCCTACATCAACCACATTTAGACCCTACCTTAATTGTCGATGATGTCTTGGAGCCTCCTTTCTGCTCCCAGAGGCTTTTCTTGCTCATGTCTCCAGCTACAATATCCTGGGGGCAGAGGAAGGACATGTCACAGATGCAGGCCTTTGACTGTGGGGCACTCGAAGCCCTGATCCTCTTTCCTGCCTAGCCTTGTCTGACTGGGGCCTGGGCCTGCCCACCTGCCTCCTTATGGAAGAGCCCAGGGGAGGAGGTAGGAAAGGAAAGGTGACACCATCTACTTGCCCTGGGCCAACCAGTTTCCCCACATGAACTTCCACTCTGGGGGCCACTGGGGGCAGCCTGGTGAACCCACCCCCCAAAAGTCCTAGTGCTCTGTCTACCCACATGTCAGCCTAGACAGTCTCAAACTTGCCTTACCAAGGAGACCCTGCCTGGCCCTGGGATGGTTCCTACCTTGCAGGAGGCAGCCTTGGCAGTGGACTGAGCCTGCACCTCTCCTGTCTCCCATCGGCTCTTGGTGCTTGCCACAGCCATGCTGGGCAGCTCAATGGAGGGCTGGCGGACTAGCTTGGGGGTCCGGCCAGCAGTCTGCAGAAGAGAAAGAGCCCAGGACCACTTTAGTGAATAGTCACATGGGACATGTCAGAGAAGCCAGTGTGAGACCCTCCAACACACAGACAACTTCCTCTATATCTTTGTATTTCTGTAGAAGTGCTTTCCCAGTGAAGGGCTAGAGCAGGGCATGCTGAAAAAAAAAAAAAAAGCATATTCCTCCATTTGGTGTACTCATGAAACACCCTCTTGATCTGAAAAGCACAGGTAATATGGTGGTTTAGGAGACAGATATGGCACTGTCATGCTGCTCATGGCAAAGTGCTGGAGGAGCATGGATTAAAAGGAGAGGTGTTGGTTGGAGAGAGGGATATCGGTAGGATGGACAGGTGTTGGTTGAATGGAGGGGTGTAAGTTTGTATGAGTGGTGGTTGAATGGAAGGGTGTTGGTTGGATGAAGGGGTCTTGGTTGGATGGAGGGGTCTTGGTGGATGGAGTGGACTTGGTTGGATGGAAAGATCTTGGTTGGTTGGAGGGGTCTTGATTTGATGGAGAGTGCAGGTTGGATGGAGGGGTCTTGCCTGGATGAAGAGATACTGGTTGGTTAGAGGGGTCTTGGTGGTTGGAGAGTATAGGTTGGATGAAAAGGTCTTGGTTGGGTGGAGGGGTCTTCATTGGAGGAAGTGGTCTTGGTTGGATGGAAAGGTCTTGGTTGGATGGAGGGGTCTTGCCTAAATGAAGGGAGTAGGTTGGAGGAAGGGGTATTGATTGGATGGAGGGGTCTTGATTAGATGGAAGGTGTAGGTTGGATGGAGGGCTGTTGGTTGGATGGTGGGATATTGGTTGGATAGAGGGGTCTTGGTTGGATGGGGGCAGGATATTGGTTGGATGGAGGGTGTAGGTTGGATGGGACATGGGTGCATGAATGGAGGAGGGACCCAGCAGAAGAAGAGAGGCCTAAAACATACCTCGATGGCCTGGGTGTATTGCTCCAGCCGCTCATCAATCTTGGAGATGGGCAGAGCTGGCTGGGACTTCTTCACACTGTTACTGGAGGGTAGGAGAACGGTTACACCCATGCTCCCTCACTTGGCTTGTACGCCCCACCCCAAGTGCCTACCAGAGCTCCCTCAGGCCCCTGGATCTCTGGCCCCTGGACCTCTCTCTTCAACCCTTTCTTGGGGAACCCCAAGTCCTAGTCTGGAAAGCAGCAGGCACACCTCTTCCTGATGGAGCGGTTCAGGGACTCGGTTCTGTCGATGAGCTGCAGAGGGCAAGCAGAGATGTGAGCCTTCAGCCAGAGCCCACCACCTCCCTCCCATTGCCCCAGTGGCTCCCATCTACCAATCCAGCCCTCCACTGATTCATTTCTCAGGGTTGTGCTGAGTGCCTGGCTTGAGGGGATAGCAGAGAAAGAGCAAGATGTGCCTATTCCTGGAGGTGATGTGTGGCTGCCTCTCTGGGGCTGTCATTTGGTTGTGATTCTGGGAAAGAGGAAAAGGCAGCAGGCTGTGGGGCTTGACGTACTTTGGTGCTGGGGCTCAGGGGAGGCGAGCCCTGTTCAGTAGTGCCCTCCAAGTCCAGGGGGCTGGGTGTCCTGGGCTGCTGGCTTTTCTGGTGCTAGGAACAGAATGTCTGAGGTTATATGATGAACACCCACTTTGCACCCCTCCTGCCCCCCCACCCCAGGACCTGTTGGAGCAAACATTTTCCCTCCCTGGGCCGCAGGCCCTTTCCAGCCCTGACATGCTCTGGCTCTCGAGTTATCTGCAGTAGGGACTGGTGAGTCTGGAGGAGAGTCACTCGATCCCAGGGCCAGCAAGCCCCTCTACCCTCTGAGAATGGGGGTGCTACAGAGTCCGGGGCTGGGGGTGAGCCCCCTTTCTAGGCCAGCCCTACAAGGCCCACAGAACACATAGGAGACACAGACCCAGCCCACCCCAAGGGGAGGCCCCACCACCTGCTCATCTGCCTTCTCAGCTTCTGCTGGCCGCAGGCTGCCCTGGATGGTCCCCTCTGGGCTCTTGGGCTCTGTCTCTTCTGCTCCCAGCCCCTCCTGGAGCTCCGAGCTAGGGCTCAGGTGCAACTTCTCCAGGGGCACTCTGGCTGGGCTCTGCTCATCACCATCCTGGTTCCCGCAGGCGTGCTGGTGGGGCCTGGGGAGGAAGAAGGAGGCAATCCCATAGAAACTCATTCAGTTGCTTGCCTCAAGTCCCTTCCTGTTTCTAAACCTCAGTTTCTCCATCTGAAAGAGGAGGCTGGTCAGACCAGCTGAATGCCAAGGAATCCTGAGACCCCAGCCTCACTGGGGAAATGGGTCCAAGGATATTCAGAGGCAGCCCTCCATCCCTGGGGCCCTTTGGTGAACAGTGCCCATGGCCCCAGCTCAGCCGCGCAAGACTTTCTGTCCACTGTGGGCCACCCGATGTGCAGGATCTCTGGACAGGCCCCAGCCCCCGGCCGTGCTTGTCCATGTCCACCCTGCTGGCCTCGGCCCCCACTTGGCCTCGGCCCCTGCCCTGCTCTGTGAGGGAGGCAAGTAGCCTGAGGAGGATGGGTTTTACACAGGAGTGGGGCGGGGTCTGTGGGAGGTTTGGGGGCTAGTCAGCTGGATGGCAAGGCAAGGGCAGAGGTCACAGTTAAAATCACACCCCTGAATAGAGGGGCTGCCTGCACTAGTCATGCCTGCCGGCGGCCAGCGTAGCTCTGCCTTTGCGTAGAACTGAACCTGGGTAAGAGGAGAAATTCTCGCATTTTCCATGATTTCACGCCCCTTGGGGTTGGTGCCAGCCAAGACCCAGACCCACCGCCCAAGGTGGGTCAGTCCGAGCCAGCAGCAGGCACACAGAGGGCCCATTCAGCTGCGGCGGGCACCAGGACAGGGCAGGTGTGGGGCGGGGAGGAGGCCTGCTTGAGAACCCAAGGGTTTGACAGAAGAGCCAAAGTGCCCCCTGCTGTTGGGAACGGCTGTGGCCTGTGGCGAGAGAGGAGGGAGCCGGGCTATAGCCAGGGACACCAGTGTACAGCCCGTGCTTGCTGACCCCAGACGCATCTTAGAAATGCAGAGTGTGCACTGATTCCCAGAGGCAGATGGGCGAAACTGAGGCACAGATGGGGACCGGTGGGCAGGGGGTCGGCCAGGACCAGGGCCCCAGCGAGGTAGCTGATTCCTGGGGTGTGGGAGCTTGCTTGTAGGGTGGAGGAAGGGTGGCGGGATGATTGGAGGGGTCTGAGCTAGAGCTCGAGCCTTCTGAGGGGCCTTGAGAGGGGGGAGGTGACCCAGAGACAGGAGAGACATGGGTCTGGTGACACTCAAGGCAATGGGGACCCTGCCCCTCAAGCTTGAAGCTCCTGAGCAGAGCTTGGACCCTGCCCACAGTCAGGGGCCCTAAGCACGCCTGCAGGGTGTGGGGAGCACTCGACCCCTGAATCGGGGTGGGGGTGAGGCTCGGGGAGCAGCCCCCCATCCCTGGGCCCCAGGGGCGCTTTGGCCCCCACCCCTGCCTGCCCCGTTCAGACCAGCAAACACGTCTGCACATCTGGAAAGCTTGTCCCTCCAGGCCGGCTCACAGGCCCGCACATCTGGAAATACCTGCTCCCCTCCGTGGGAATGGAGATCAGCCAGCCCCGAGGGAGGAAGGGGCGGGCGGGCGGCAGGGGCGCAGAGCCTCCATTACGTAAGTGGGCTGCAGATGTGTGCTGATGTGGCAACACCCGGCCCGGGCCGCAGCTGGTCTGGACGGGGCCCAGGGGCCCTGGGGAGCCCAGGAATGAGATTTCCTCCCCAGCCCTCCCCGCAGCCCCTCGGCCCGCCGCCCCGCCGCCGTCTAGCTCTCTTCCTCCCTTCCCCCTGCTCCCAGCTCCAGGGCATTTTGCGGGGCTGGTGGCTTTCTCAGGCACAGGTTGGGGGCTTGGGGGAAGCCCCTGCCTGGCAGCCCTGTCTCCAGACTTTGGCCCCCACTTGCCTGTCCTCCTCCTGCTGCCCCTCTGGACTTTCACCCCAAGGGGGCTCCCCACAGTTGGAGGTCTCCCCGGCCCCCCAGTCCTGTGGCCGCTGCTCTGGCTTCTGGGACCAGTCGCTGAAACCCTCGTCCTCATCTGGTTCAGGTGCCTCCGAAGGCTTCAGGCTGAGGCTGAAAGAGTAGCACAGGGTGCTCAGAGCTGGGCCAGGCCCCAAGGGGCAGCGCTATTCCCATCACCCACACCTGCTCCCTTCCTTTGACCCTGGGCTCCAGGGCTGGGGGACTCTATCTGCTGGAGGCAGCACCCCATGGCTGGGCTGAGCCTCCCCATTGTCAGAGAGTCCCTGAGGGCAGGACTGTGTCTCCCCCACAGTCTGGAGCTGTCTGAGGCCAAAGTTGTGTCTTACCCTCTTACCCAGGACTCCCCCAGAACAGGGCTCTATCTCCCTCATGAGTCAAAAGTTCCCAAAGAGCTAGGCGCTGCTTCTCCCACCAGTCTAGGGCCTGTTAGGACCTGGGCTATGCCTCTCCCATCAGTCTAGGGTCCCCTGAAAGCTGGAATATGCCTTCCACACCAGTCTAGGGCCTCTCAAGAGCTGGGCTAAGTTTCCTCCATCAGTTGAGGGCCCCTCCAGAGCTGGGCTGTCTCTTCCATCAGCCTAGGGCCTCTGAGGACTGGGCCATGCCTCCCCCTTCAGTCTAGAGCCTTCTGAGAACTGGGCCATGCCTCCCCCATCAGTTTAGAGTCCCCTGAGAACTATTCCATGCCTCCCCCATCAGTTTAGGGTCTCTTGAGACCTGGGCTATGCTTCCTCCATCACCTCAGGGCTCCCCAGGAGCTGAGCTATGCCTCTTCCATCAGTCTAGGGTCTTCTGAGAGCTGGGCCATGCCTTCTCCATCAGTCTAGGGTTCTTGAGAGTTGAGCTGTGTCTCTCTCATCAGTCTAGGGCCCCCTGAGGGATGAGCTATGCCTTCCCCAGTACTCTAGGGCCTTCTGAGAAGTAGGCTATGCCTCCTCCATCAGTCTAGGGCCTTCTGACAGCTGGCCATGCCTCCCTCATCAGTCTAGGGCCCCCTAAGGGATGGGCTATGCCTCCTGCATTAGCCTAGGGTCCCCTGAGAGCTATTCCATCCCTCCTCCATCAGTCTAGGGTCTCTTGTGAGTCAGGCTATGTCTCTCATCAATCTGGGGACTCTCAAATAGCTGGGTTATACTTCCCTCATCAGTCTAGGGCCTTCTAAGGGATGGACTATGCCTCCCCCATTAGTCTAGGGCCTTCTGAGAACTGGACCATGCCTCCCCTATCAGTCTTGGGTCCCCTGAAAGCTATTCCATGCCTCCCCCATCAGTCTAGGGCCCCCTGAGGGATAGACTATGCCTCCCCCATTAGTCTAGGGCCTTCTGAGAACTGGGCCATGCCTCCACCATCAGTCTAGGGTCTCCTGAGAGCTATTCCATGCCTCCCCCATCAGTCTAGGACCGCTTAAGAGCTGGATTATATCTCTTTCATCAGTCTAGGGTCTCTTGCGAGTCAAGCTGTGTCTCCCCCATCAGTCTAGTGCCTCTCAATAGCTGGGTTATACCTCCCTCATCAGTCTAGGGCCTTCTGAGAGCTGGGCCATGCTTCCCCCATCTATCTAGGGTCCCCTGAGAGCTGGGATATGCCTTCCCCATCAGTCTAGGGTCCCTGAGAATTAGGCCATGCCTCTCCCATCAGTCTAGGGTCTCTTGAGAGCTGAGTTATGCCTCCCTCGCTTAGTCTAGGGTTCTTGAGAGCTGAGCTGTGCCTTCCTCATCAGTCTAAGGCTCCCCAAGAGCTGGGCTGTACTTCCCCTCCTCAGTCTAGGGTCCCCTGCCTGCTGGGCTGTGCCTCCTCTATCCCCGTGGGGTCCCCGGTCTTGCTCTACTCCCTTAGCTGAGCCCCCAGGGCTGCAGTGACATGCTCCTTCCCCAGGAAGCCCCTGCACCCAGTCCCCTCATGGCAGGCCTGAGATGTGGCGCTGGTGGGCCCCCCTCTGCCCCCAGTCCCTGCCATCTAGACAGAGGACCCGGCCTGAGGGGCCATGACCGCTGCAGCACCCCACCCCGCCCGGAGCTGCTGACTCGGAGAAAATGGAACAAAACAGCGGCGGGAGGAAGGGGGGCATTATTGTAAAAACAGCCCAGCCCGGCCGCGGGGGCCTCCTGGGCCCAGGGAGGAAACGAGCCGGCCTGCGGCCCCGCCAACTTGGACGCAGCCTCCATGAGTCACCGGCAGCAGGGAGCTTGGGCGGGGGGCTCCGGGGCCAGGGCCACGCAGCTGGGGTCAGTGTCGGTCCAAGCAGGGGCCGGGGCCACGCGGGGCGGCCAGAGCCTGAGTCAGCGCTCTGGGAGGTGGGCTGGGAGGGGTGGCCGCACGTGAGTCCATCCAGCCGGCCGGCCAGCAGGCTCGCTGGTGCCGGGGGTTTTGGGGACCCTCACCCTGAGAACTCTCCCCACTCCTGCTCCTGGGCTGAGCCCCTCCATGGGCTCACCTGCTCGGGGACCCCTGACCCGGGGTCCAACCACCAGCACACTGCTCTGCCCACGGGTGCAGGGCCAGGTGAGCTGGTTGGGTGGGGGTGGGGGGGACAGCTTACAGGGTCTCCTGCTCGGGCAGCTCAGGGGACTGGCCGCCTCTGTCCTCGTCCTGGGCCCGCAGCTGCCGGTCCCTCTCCCGGCGGCGCCGCTCCCGGGCGGCCTCCTCCTCATCTTCCACGCTCCACTGAGTGGTGAGCCTGGGGAGTAGCAAGACACAGTCACACCACTGCTCACACCCTGCCAGTCCGGTCCAAGCAGGACTCTCCTGTCCGGGTCGTGTCCTTAAGGCAGATGTCATGTCATGAAGGTGCCCTCGGGCCCAGGGGGCAGCTCCCAGGGCTCTGGAGGCCTGGAGACGGAGGGGCTCCTGTGTCCAGGCAAGCCCAGAGCCACCCCAGTGCTGAATGAGACCCCCGTGTCCCCTCCACCAGCCAGGCTCCTTCAGCCTCATCAGAGCCAGGACCCAGGTGGGCACAGTCCTAGGGCTGCAGAGGGCATGGGACAGGGCTGCTGGAGGGGCCTGAAGGCTGGTGCCCCACGTCCTACCTGAATCAAGGGACTGTGGCCTCGGCCAGTCAGGTGGTGCCAGGCCGGGCTGGGGTCTGGCCAGGGGCAGACCCGGCTAGGCAGCCACCTCGTCACCCAACCACCCCAGCTGGGATGCTCCCTCCTGATCCCCAAGGGCCTGGCCTGTTGGAAGAAGGTGGCCCCTCAAAAGGGCCCAAAACCCACAGAAAAGGCTGCCTCCAGCCTGAGCCTGACCTCTCTCTGGGCTGTTTCACAGATGAGGAAACTGAGGCCTGCATGAGAGAGCTTCCTCTCCCAGTGTCTGCTGACCTCATGGATTCTCAGGGTCCTTCACTCAGGACTGCACAAGGTGGGCCTGGGACCCTGGCCCTGGCCCACAGCTCTCATACTCTTGGTGTCCGGGGAGGGAGCTCCCCAGGCCTTGGCCACCAACATGGCCCTGTCCCCCCAGTCTCCCTGGACCCCAAGAGGGGAGTCCTGGTCTCTGCTTCTGCAGGGGTCTCAGTCCCCTCCTGCCGGTGTCCGCTGCCTGACCCTGCAGCCTGCTCCTCCTGCCTTGGCCAGGATGGCCGGCTCCATGGTCTCAGCAGCCCTGCCAGCCATGATCTAATCTCTCCTCAGTCCTCCCAGACAAAAGCCAGGCCTCTTCACGGCCCCTGCTTTGGGCCCGCTCTCCCCACCACGGCCCCCCGGGGATCCCAGCCGTGCTCAGACCTCAGCACCCTGAGTCTGCCCACCCTCACTCCTCAGCACTGCCTCTGGCTCCCACCCCTGGGGCCCCGGGGAGCCTTTCCTGCCCCACATCTGGCTCCCATCCTGCTCCAGGGCCTCGGCTCAAAGCCATGGGGCCATGTTTTCTGGAGAGGTAGCACCCAGGGTGCTCTTGACTGTTGGGGACCTGGGGTCCAGGGCCTTGCCCACCATTCACACCGGCAGGCCCTCTGAATGGAGGGTGGGAGCAGGTGGGTACAAGGGGAGCTCGTGCTAGGTCTCTGGCTGCAGGATGGAGAGAGTGGGCCCAGTGGCCTTCTTGGGGGGCAGCCCTGGGGGCACCCTGGGAAGGATTCCTGGTCCTTCCTGACAAGATCGGCCATCTTGCTCCCCTTGCTCCCATGTCTCGGCTGCGGGTGCCTATGGGCATGTCTGTGTCGGCCAGTGGGCGGTGCGTGGGTGCTTGTGCATGACCAGGCGTGGCGTGGGTGGCCCCATCCGTGTACTTATGTCCACGGCCTCAGGCCTGCCCCATGCCCACACTCAGGAACTCCCATGGGCGGTTTCTCCTGCTCCCCAGACCCTTCCACCAAAATCCGAGCACAGGCACCACACTGTGTCCCGTCACCCCTGACACAGATATGCACAGCACCTCTGGGGGCCACTGTATGGAAATGTGTCCAGGCCACAGAAGCCCCATGCAGGCTGGCGCTCTGCAGAGACTCCCCCACGGACACGCACCGCGTTGCCGGGCCTCCCTCACACACACAGACGCACACATCCTCACGTGTCCATGCTCCCAAATGCCCCACAGCACGTACATGCTTGCACACCCTCAGATGTCCACCTGCACACGCAGACTCAGAAAACAAAGCGCGGGGCGGAATGGCGGAATGGCGGCATCCTGGTTCCTGGTGCTCCTGCCATCGCCCCAACAGTGGCCTGGGAGGGAGACTGAGGCATGTTTTCTGAGAGCAGCATCCCTAAGGAGCCGGCCCTCCGAGGGCCACCCTTTGCCACCTGCCATCTGCCTGTGCTTCCCTGAATCTCCCCAGGGCAGGGTAGGGGTGCAGGGTAGGGGTCTCTGGGTGTCTCCCCCAGCCCCACGCGGGGAGACCCAGCGGCCTGAGGACAAGGAGCCCTCCCCCTCGCCTGCTCCCTCCCGCCAGCCCCAGGATGTGAGTAATGCAGCCCCTCCTGGCCCCTCCCGTGACCTCACCCTCACTGTTCCACAGCTGGGCTCTGTTCTGGGAACTGAGAGGGGGCGGCTCTCCTGGGGTGGGGTGGGGGCCTCTGGCCTGGGAAAGGCACCCCCCTTCCCCGGCCAGCAGCCCAGACCCCTTGGCAGGCTGAGCAGAGCTGTCAGGACACCGGCGATGCCCCCCCCCCCCGCCCCCGCCCCATGGCCCCTGGCTCAGCCCAAGTGCAGCTGTAAGGGATTTGCTGTTCCTTAGCAAATGCAATTAGGCTGTTTCCTGTGTCTGTTCTGGCTCCGAGCAGCCAAGGGTCCAGCCCCAGGGGCTGCGAGTGGGGCTCCGCACCCCCAGCAGCAGGCTCTGCCACAGGGCCTCACCCCACTCACCAGTGTGCGCAGACCCCGGCTTCCCCATTCTGGGTGGGGGTCCCCAAGTTCAGGGGCTGCCCCTGCTGGCCCCCGCTCAAGGCACCAGCCCCCTCTCTCCTCCTGCTGCAGCCCCTCCAGTCTCTCTACCAGGGTCCAAGGATGAGATGGTCCTGAGCCCGCCTGGTCCTCCCTGCAGTCTCACCTCCTTCCTCCTCCTTCCTGCCCCCCTGCCCCCCCTCCTGCCCTGCGCCTAGGGTTGGTCCCAGCTTGACTCTGCCCCCTGCAGGCGGCTTGTGGGTCACCCCACCTGTCCTGGTGCCTAAAGGTCAGCCCAGAGTCATGGGGAGAGCTTGGCAGTGGGTGGGGGGGCTCCCCGCCAGAGAAGTTCTTCCTTTAGGCCTACAGGGGACCCTCCTGGCCGCAGGTGTCCCCCACCACAGCGGGTAGAAGCTAGGAAGTGGGACCAGCACCCCACGGGGAGCAGGGAGCACAGGTCTCCAGTGGCCCTCCTCCCCAGGGTCTCCTACACTTCCACCGGGGTGGACACTTGCAGTGCGACTGGTCCCTTGAGTGGCCAGAGAGCCCATGAGCAAGGGACAGAGTAAGAGGAATGAGCTCACGGAGAGGCCTTCTTAGTGTTGGCTTCCAGGGGTCCCCAACAACCAGAGAGCAGGCCCCCAAGGGCAGAGGTTGGGAGCCCTGTCAGGGAGCTTGGGGGAGGGCAGCTGTGGCTGGGCCACTTGGAGGGTGCCCCTTGTGGGTCAGTCAAGGCAGGGTCCTCCCTGCAGTGCAGGGAGGATCTGGGATCTTGTGGCACTGCCAGGGTGCTTGCTGTCACTCATCCTCACAGAGAGGCAGAGGGTACACCTGTAGGGGGGAGAGCCTGGAGTGGGTGGGGCAGCGGGAGGGGCACGCTGCTGCCCTGGGCCAGGGGTGTGGGTATGGGTGCTGCAGCTGCCGGGAACCTGGCTTCTCCACACCCCACCCGCCTCCCCTGGCTCAGGCCTAGCCCACCCTCCCGGCCATCCCCCTCCAGCAGCTCCTTTCTGGGTGTGTCTCTGCCCCGCTGGGCATAGGGAGAGACAACCTCTTTCCTCGAAGGCACAGCCTGGGGGGGGGGGCGGTAGACACCCCCCTCCCCCACCACAAGCCCAAACCCTGCCCAGAGGGAGCCCAGGAGGCCACCTCCAACTGAGGTCTGAAAGATGAGCCAGGGAGAGGGTCTGCAGAGGAGAGCCGAGAAGGCCAGTGGCCCAAGAACCCAGTGTGGCCACAGCCAGGGAGGGGCAGCTGTGGGCAGCTGGACAGGAGGGTCTCTGAGTCCCCAGGGGACAGCCCTGAGAGGTCCTGATCAGGCCTTCTGATTAGCATAGGGGGGCAGGAGGGGGGATGCAGGCATCCTGGGGAGGTGGCGTGGGCAGACAGCAGCCTGTAGAGCTGCCACGTGTCTCCATCTGCCCCGCACCCCAGTGAGGGCTTGGGCAAGCAGAGTGTGGGGTGCATGGGGACTCTCAGGGACACGGTCAGGAGGGCCTGCCAGTGAGCAGGGACCCAGGCCAAACTGGGGAGAGCCCGGGGGATCAGAAACCCCTAAGGGAGCTGGGGAGGCACCACCAGGGAGCAGGCCTGGGGCACAGAGAAAGGCCTGGAGGGCCCCCTTCGCGTCTCCCTCCCTCCTCCCCCATGCTGGGTGCTCCTAGGGGTTAGAGCTGCAGGGATGGGGATAGCCTGGGCCTTCACCCCACCCTGGGGCGTGGGGGGAGCTTGGTGTCCCTGCTGAGTGCCCCATTCCACCCTGCTGCGCAGGAATACAGCCCTTCCTGACTCTCCCCTTTATGGTCCCTCCCAGGAGAGGCGGGGCAGGGTGGGGGCAGATTAGGTCTCTGGGAGACCTCCTGAGGAGGTCACCTCAGGAGGAGGGGCAGGGCCAGGGCATGGCTGTGGCTTTGGTCTTTCTGACATCCTTCCCAGGGTGATACTCCAGGTCCGGCCTCAGCTCCCCAGCTATAATAAGGGGTGCTGACATTGCCCAGCCAGGTGTGGACTGAGACCCCTCTCTGGGGCACCCTAGCTCCTGCTTCCTCTTGGGGGTGCTGTTGGCAGACCTGGGCCCCCCAAAAGGGAAGCTGGCCCACACCCCACCCCACCTCCTGGCCCTGCTGGCAGGTCGCAGCTGCGAAGCCTTCCCAGAGGAGGGGACATCTGCCTGCAAAGCTGGCTTCCCCACCATCCCAAGGGGTTGGTACCCCAAAAGGCACAGGCCAGGGGCACAGGCTGATCCAGGAGACATGGGGCTCAGCGGCAGCCTCTGGGAGCCCACAGCTGGCCAGACAGAGGCCAGCCCTGCGATGACATCCACGTGCCACATGTGCCAGCCCAGGGCATCATACAGCA